TATATATATATATATATATGGCTGAGAGGGCTGTAAGGAAGAGAACCGAAATGATTGGGTTGAAGGTGTCCCATCAAGGTTAGAGGCATGGATATAAAGCACCAAGACCTGTTTGCTTCTGCTGTCCAGCTGAGGGTAGCTATGCCCAGGGAAAGTTGTGTAGTACCTGTAAAAAAAGCACTGGCTGAAGATGAGGAGGTGTCGTTAAGGTAACCAGTTCCTACATGAATCAGGGTTAGTGACAGGCCCTATCTGCCCCAGTGATAGTGCCTTGAGAATGACTCATAGTGCCCTGGGAAGAAGATGCCATTTCTTTTGCAGTTGGAACCATAGATCCTTCCTGCTTTTTCTTGAGGGTAGAACATGGTGGCCATAGTCAATGAATGAAAAAAAAAAAAGACTGCTAAATCATAGTACCCGCCTCATGCTGCCAACTCCAGAAGACATAGCAGTGCTGGGCCACCAACCCTGGCAAGGCCACATGGCAGGTACTTGTTGCTTTCTAGGGAAAGCTAGCTATACCTGGTCTTTGTGCTTACATTATAGACTGATGCATACCAGACTCACCCTGGGACCTCCATGATCAAAGGTTGCAATAGAGAAAGCAGTGTGGGTGAATGAGTTGAAGCAATTTGAGAGAGCTTCCCAGGAAAGAGTGACATTTGGACAGAGACTGGAACTAGCCTCTCCTAAAATGAATTTGGAGTATAAGATCTTAAACTTTTTTTATTTTATTTTATTATTTCTATTTTATGTGTATATGTGTATTGCCTGCATGTAGGTAAGTGCAACCGTGTTGCGCAATGCCCGTGGAGATCAGAAGAGGCTGTCAGATTCCCTGGGACTGGAGTCACAGACAGTTGTTAGCTGCCATGTCGGTGTTGGGATTCGAACCCAGGTCTTCTGCAAGAACAACCAGTGTTCTTAACTGCTGAGCTATCGCTCCAGCCCCGAGTATAAGATCTTAAACAGCATTGGTGTTTGCATAATGTTTCATTGTATGGGGGAAATGAATAAAACATCACCTTTTAAAAATTACTAGTTTGGGGCCTGGAGTGGTGGCTCAGTGGTTAAGAGCACTGGCTGCTCTTGCAGAAGACCTGGGTTTGGTTCCCAGCACCCACATGGTGGCTGATAACTACGTAACTTCAGTTCTAGGAGATACAACACCCTCCTCTCAACACTGAGGACATGGCCCAAGGTGGGTACATTTGTGCAGGCCATTCACTCCTGCACATAAAGTAAAAATAAAATATATATATAATATATATTTCTTTTAAATATTATTTTTATTTTATGTGTATGAGTGTATTTCCTACACATATGTAAGAGTACCCATGTTGTGTAGGGCTCAAAGAGGTCAGAAGAAGGTGTTAGATCCCCTTGAACTGGAATTATGGATGGTTGTTAGCTACCATGTGGTATATGCTGGGAATTGAACCTGGGTCCTCTGCAAGAGCAGCCAGTGTTCTTAACTGCTGAGCCATCTCTCCAGCCCTCTTAAAACTTTGTAAAACAACTAATACTTAAAGTTTTAAGATTGTTCCTCTCAATTTTCCAATTTCCCCACCCCCAGCATCCTCTGAAAAAGCACCTTAAAAGATAAGAAGTTTTATCACAACCCATAGTTTTATATAAATTGCCTTAAGGGCCAACTAATGGCTAAATTCTGTTCCTCTCATTAATTGGAGCCAAGGCTCTGAATCTATGCTTTCTTCTACATGCCTCTCTGGATCATAGCATGCCTGGTAAAGATGTACCAAAAGACAACAACCTGGCACCAAAAAGACCTTTCCCTGAATTTCAACTGCCTGAATAGCCTTCTTGTTCATGCACCTTCTTCCTGCCTCTGCCTCCCAAGTGCTGGGATTAAAGGCGTGTGCCACTGCGCCTGGCCTAAATTATTATTTTTATGAGCCGGGCATGGTGGTACACACCTTTTATCCCAGCACCAAGGAGGCAAAGGTAGGTGGATCTCTGTGAGTTCCAGGCCAGCCTGGTCTACAAAGAGTTCTAGATGAGCTGAGGCTACATAGTGATTTCCTATCTCAAAGAACAGACAAAACTAAAAGCACACAAAACTTATTTTTGAGACAGGGTCTCGGCCAAGGATGACCTTGAACTCCTAATCCTCCTGCCTCCACATTCCAAGTGCTGGGATTACCAGTTTATACTGCCACACCTGGCTGTCATCCTAATGCAAAAGTTTTTATTTGTTTATTTTGAGACAGGATCTCACTAGTTAACCCTGGCTAGCCTCAAACTAACAAGGCCACCACCTGGCTACTGTCAAGTTATTAGTGTTTCCCTGTGGGACTCAAGTTCTATGGAACATACTCAGAGAAAGGTGACTTAGGGGATATGTGATAGACTTGGCCTGGATGTCTGGCTTCCATGGAATTTGGGCTCTGCTCCCATTTTCTAGCAGATTTTCCAGCAAAGTATGTGTCACAGAAGGGCTTTGTGGACTTTATGGTGTCTCCTTCCAGCAGCCCTTCTGCCAGGTTGTAAAAGAATTTCCTTGTTCATTCTTAGGCCATATGCTGTATATGCCTCGTTGTAAATGGGCTGCTGGCTCTTCCCATCATCCCTGGGGTCCTTTGCTGAAGTGAATTCCTTGCCCTTTCAGACTTATTTATGTTCCTGGTCCCTGCTACTCTTCATTGAGAGTTGAGATTTGAGGTAGGGTCTTCTGTAACCCTGGCTGGCTTTGATCTGATCTACCACAGTCTCCTGGGTTTACAGCCATGTACTACCAGGTCTGACCAAAGTAAGAATTTTTAGAGGGTCATACTCATTATCTGGACACAGAGCATATGTTTACTGTGCTTCTCATTAACTGTATCCAGAGCTATAATTAACATCGTAGTGCTATGGATAGGAAGAAAACAGACTATCAAATATTAACTCAAAATAAAATTGCCATGCACTGTAATATATACCTTTAATTCTAGTACTTGGAAAACTTAGAGGAAGGCAGATCTCTGAATTTTAAGGTCAGTGGGTCTATATAGTGAATTCTAGACCAGCACGGGCTACATAGTAGAAAAAAAAAATAGATATCAGGTTGCAGAGAAGACCACTGAGCTGGTTACCTTGGCATGAATGATACACAGGTTTGGGTCCTCAGTGTGTTACTTATCTGAGAAACATTCCTCCAGCAGCCTTTCTGTCCCTCCAGGCTGTAACACTAAGAACACCAAATTATTGCTGTAGCCATCATGTTTAGGGTTGCAACACTGGAAATTTGTATTTAATCTTTAAATATAATTTTAATTGAAAAACAATTTTTGCTCACCTGGTATAGTGGCGCACGCCTTTCCCAGCATTCGGGAGGCAGAAGCAGGCAGAGGTCTGTGAGTTCAAGGCCAGCCCTGTCTACATAGTAGTGAGTTTCAGGCCAGCTGGAGCTTCAGAAAGACCCTGTCTCAGAAAAAAATTTTTTTTTTTTTTTTTTGCTTTTTGAGGTAAGGTCTCATGTAGCCAAGGCTGGCCTTAAACTAATCTTTCTGCCTCTGTAATCCAAGAGCTGGAATTAATGTGTGTTCTACCATGCCTGGCTTAGGTCTTTTAAAATCTATTTGTTTTTTAGATGTAGGGTATATTTTATGGTTTAGGGGCTGAAGAGATGGCTTAGTGTTTAAGAGCACTGGCTGTTCTTGCAGAGGACCCAGGTGCAGTTCCCAGCACCCACTTGGTGACTAACAACCGTGTCCATAACTCCAGTTCCAGAGGATCCAACGCCCTTTTCTGACCTCCAAGGGAATTGCACAACAGGACACATACATACAGGGACTACACTCATACACATAAAAAAATAATTTACATAGCGAGCTCCAGGCCAGCTGGGGCTACAGATAGACCCTGTCTCAAAAAGACCGAGGGGAAAAAAAAAGGTCAGGAGAGATGTCTCAGTGGTTAAGAGCACTGGCTGCTTTTGCAGAAGTTCCCAGCACTCACATGGTGGCTAACAGCCATTCAGAACTCCAGTTCCACATAAAAATATGCATTAAAAAATACATATAAAGGCTGGGTGTGGTAGTACACGCCTTTAGTCCCAGCACCTGGGAGGCAAAGGCAGGCGGATCTTTGTGAGTTCAAGGCCAGCCTGGTCTACATAGTGGGTTCAGGTCAGCTGGGACTACAGGAAGACCCTATCTCAGAAAAAAAAGCTGTTGTACACCATATTAAAAAAAAAAAACATAAAAATAATGAGTGTACTGTGTGCAGTGCCCATGGAGGCCAGAAGAGGGTGTCTGATCCCCTGGAAGTGGAATTAATGACTATTAACTGTGCTGGAAACCCAACCAAAGTGCTCTTAATGGCTGATCCATCTCTCCAGCCCTAGTATGTTAAATTTTTATGTGGATTATTTTATTGGGATGGGGTCTTAATGTAGCTCAAGGTATCCTTGAACTCCTCATCCTGCTTTAGGCTTTCCAGGTGCTGGGATTATAGGCATGCTCTACCACACCCCTACTTCATGGTCTGTCTTTTTAAAATTTTTATATTACATATGCCTCTGTGTGTGTGTGTGTGTGTGTGTACCCTACGCTCATGTGATGGTCACAGGACAACTTGTGGGCGTTGTTAGTTCTCTCCTCCCAGTGTAGGTTTCTGAGGTTGAACTCAGATGGTTAGGCTTGCATGGCAAGCACTTTTCCCCACTGAGCCATCTTACTGGCCCCAAAGTCTTATTTTCCTAATGGTCTCCAGTAAATTGTGTGTTGGATGGTGTCCCCAAAATTCACATCCTGCAGTCTCAGAATGTCATTTGGCATTGGTGTAGATCAGTGGTGGATATGAGCTTAACGGGTTCAAGGCTCTAGGTTCAGTCTTCAGTACAAAAGAAAACTCCAACAAAACAAAACAAAACTTGGCATGGTGGTACACACTGATAATGTCAGCAAAGGAGAGGCTGAGCAGGAAGATAATCAGAAGTTCAAGACCAGTCTGGGCTACATACTGAGCTTGAAGTCAGTCTGGGTTACATGAGACTGTCTCAAAAAAAAAAAAAAAAAAAAAAGTGTGCCTGTTATGGTGGCACAGGTCTTTAATCCCAACACTCATTCGGGAGGCAGAAGCAGGTGAATCCTGTGAGATCAGGCAGCCTGGTTTACATAGCCAGTTCCAGGACATCTGGGACTATAAAAGAAGACAACCCTGTCTCAAAAAGACCAAAAAAAAAAAAGTATCACTGACTTCATTGTTCCTAGATTCCTAGACTACTACTTTGATGGTAGCTGTAGGGTGTTTTGTTTTTTAGTGATCCAGTGAGTCCAGTTGGGGTTACTTACGTGAGCATGGGTGAGGGTCGATAGTTACTGTTTTGTTTTTTTTTGTTGTTGTTGTTTTGTCTTTTTGAGACAGGGTCTCCCTGTAGCCCCAGCTGTCCTGGAACTCACTATGTAGACCAGGCTGGCCTTGAACTCACAGAGATCCGCCTGCCTTTGCCTCCTGAGTGCTGGGATTAAAGGCGTGCGCCACCGCACCCAGCCTAGTTACTGTTTTTTATGCAGACCTCTTAGCCTGTGAAATATGTCTTATATCCACTGACCCAGAAATTCACTTCTGGGAATTTGAAATACTCTAGGCAGGCATGACAGCAGAGATGTCTAAGTATGGTGTTACTAAGCCACATTAAAGTTATACCTGAATAAAGAAACAGCTTGACTCTCAGCTTTTTGTTTTAAGGCCAAGAGTGGGCCTGAACTCTGAGAGTTTGTCTCTTCTCTTGTCCCTCAGGCACTGTGCTCTTGAGCTTGGCAGGCTTCAATCATACTTTGATTTTTTAATTTTTTTGGTCTTTTTGAAACAGGGTTTCCCTGTAGCCCCCAGCTGGCCTGGAACTCACTATATAGACCAGGCTGGCCTTGAACTCACAGAGATCCACTGCCTTTGCCTCCCAAGTGCTGGGACTACAGGCATGTGCCACCACACCTGGCTTCTCATACTTTTATTGAAGTAGTCTTTCAAGTAACAATTTGGGAAGTAGAAACTAGGCTCCACCTTTATCAGAGGATCTTGCTCTTTGATCCCTAGGTCTAAAATATACAAGCAGGCTGGAGAGATGGTTCAGCGGTTAAGAGCACTGGTTTCTCTTGCTTAGGACCTGGGTTGGATTCCCAGCACCCACATGGTGGCTAACAACCGTCTGTTATATATGGCACCCTGCCCTCAAAAAAATTAGCTGTTAGAGTGCTCTCTCTCTCTCTTCTCTCTCTCTCCTCTCCATATATACCTTTCCACATTGGAGCAATAGAAAATTGTTGAAGCTAGAACTCTCACAGAGATCCATCTGCCTCTGCCTCCTAAGCACTGGAAGTAAAAGTGTACACTACCACACCCAGCAGCCTTAATTTTGTTTTTACCAGTGCAACAGTGTATAAAGCTAGGGAGGTATCTGGGTGGCAGATAACTTCATGCTTGCCTTAGCAATCATGAAGCCCTAGGTCTGATCTGGTAATTTGTGAATTAATACAACTAGAGATTAGTAACCTCTACACACCCACCAGCTTCAACAATTATTGCTCTATGTTCAGCTGGTTGTAGTGGCACACCCCATAATTCCAGTACTTCGGAGGAAGAGATAGGATCTCATGAGTTCATGGCTAGTTACAAAGCAAGACCCATGCATGCTTAAAGCCTCTCAGGAAGCCCTGCCTTCCAGGGACTTTCCTAGGGCAGGCAGAGACCTGGATTATCTGTAGAGCTTTGGGGGGCTAAGGAAGCTATCATACACCCAGCAGGGGAGCCACAGCTTTTTTTTTTTCCCCCAAACTCTGGAGTCAACTCTCCAGAATTAACTCTATATGGAGTGTTAAAAAAAAAAAAAAAAAAAAAAAACCCACACCAAAGTTATGTTTTTTGTTTCGGGCAGTGAGTGTATGCAAGCTCACTAGAGATTGAACCCAGGGCTTTTAGCTGAGCCCCCCTCTCCAGCCCTACAAAACACAACAGCCAGAGCTGTAGCATCAGTCATTGAAGTTTTTTGTTTTTTTTTTTTCTAAATGAAGTTCAAAGAGCAGTAATTCCTAAACCAATCTTCCCAATGATTTCACTGTAGATTGATTTATAAAAGCACACAGCTTCTCAAAAGTATGTATTGTTTAAAGCCAGATGGGAAGACAGGCCAGAAGTGACATGCTTGTAATCCTAACACATGGGAGGCTAAGACAGGAGAATCAAGGGTTTGAACCCACCCTGTGCTATAGGAGACCCTGTTTCAACAAAGCAAAACAGGTGGGGGCTAGAGAGATGGCTCAGTAGTGAACAGCACTGGCTGCTCTTGCAGAGGACTGAGGTTCAGTTTCCAGCACCTACATGATGTCTAACAACCATCTGTAACACCAATTTCAGGGGATCTCAGACCCTCTTCTGGTATCCATAGACATTATATGAATGTGGTGTGCTTACATACATGCAGGCAAAACACTCATACCCATAAAATAAATAAGCTGGACATGGTGGTTCATGCCTTTGATCCCAGAACTCAGGAGGCAGAGAGGTGGATCTCTGTGAGATCAGCCTGATCTACATAGAAGTTCCAGGTCAGCTGGGGCTACAGGGCAACCCTGTCTCATAAATAAATAATAAAAAACAAAACAACAAAACAACCAGCCAGACATCAAGCCTGACAGCTTGAGTTTGATTCCCTGAACCCACATAAAAGTGGAAGGAAAGAACCACAAAGTTATCCCCTGACCGCGACATGTGAGCCACCCCCATCCCCCTCTGTACCCAAATACAAACAAAACAAAAACAAAAACCACCAGATGGGTACCAGGGTGTAGCTCATTGCTGGAGTACTTGCCTAGTGCCCAGAACTGCAAGATAACAACTGTACTAAAATAAAGCCAGATGGATCTTACTATATGAGAAATAGGATGTCATTTGGGAGGCGGAGGCAGGGAGATCTCTGCGAGATCAAGGTCAGTCTGGTCTACATAGTGAGTTCCAGGCCAGCTGGGGCTAAGGGGAGACCTTGTCTCAAATAATAAATAAATAAATAGTAAATAAATAAATAGGATGTTGTTGGGCAAGGTAGCAAAACACCTTTAACCCCAGCCTTCTGATGGCAGAGACAGGTGGATCTCTGTAAAATCGAGGCCAGCCTGGTCTACCAAGGAATTCTAGGACAGCTGGAGCTACAGGGAGACACTGCCTCAAAAAAAAGAAAGGGGATGTTACCTATTTCCAGTAAATGGACTTGGACTTTCATTAGAGTTAGATTGGAGGCAGCTTGGAGAAATGGCACTGGATTCTCTTCTACTTAAATCCTGTCTCTAGTATTAGGAGCTGGGGTTTTGTTGCAATTGTTGCCTTGTTTGGGGTTTTGTTTTTTGTAAAGAATGATGAGTTTGACCGTCATTCTACATGAGAATGAGCACTGTGGTGTCAGTGTCTAGAATTGGTCAACGTGGCTAAATTGAGATATGTTTCCATCACAATAAGTGCATTGCAGTGATGACAATGAGACCTGTAACATTTTGGAAAAAATGAATTTGCAATTTAATTATAGTTCTTTAAAAAATTTTTTAAATTATTTTCTCCTTTTGAGACAGGGTCTCCCTGTAGCCCCAGCTGTCCTGAAACACACTATATAGATCAGGCTGGCCTTGAATCCACAGAGATCCGCCTGCCTCTGCCTCCCAAGTGCTGAGATTAAAGTCATGCACCACCATGCCCAGCTAAAATATATTTTATTATTTTTATATTATGTGTATGTGTGTATTGCCTGCATGTATGCAAGTGCACCCCTGTTGTGCAATGCCCATGGAGGATAGAAGAGAGCATTGGATCCCCTGGAAATGGAGTTACATTTAGCTGCCATGTGGGCACTGGGGAATCAAACCTGGGTCCTCTGCAAGAGCAGCTAGTATTCTTAACCACTGAGCCCATCTCTCTAGCCCCCTTAATTATATTTCTTTGTGTGTGTGTGTGTGTGTGTGTGTCTTTTTGAAGCAGGGTCTCCCTGTAGCCCCAGCTGTCCTGAAACTTACTATGTAGACCAGGCTGGCCTTGAACTTACAGAGATCTGCCTGCCTCTGCCTCCCAAGTGCAGGGACTACAGGCGTGCGCCACCACGCCTGGTTTAATTATATTTCTTTATTGTGTACTTAATTGCATCATTTATCTATTGGGTGTGGGTATATGCATGGGTACATGGCACAAGGTGCACAGATGGAAATGAGAGGACAGCTTGAAAGCATCAGTTCTCGCCTTCCATTATATGGGTCCCAGGGATCAACTCAGGTTATCAGGCTTGGTGGTAGGTGCCTTAACTCATGGAGCCATCTTGTCAGCCCTGGATTGATTTTATGAGACAGAATGTCCCTAGGAAGCCTAGATTGCCTAAAATTTGATATGTAGACCAGGCTAGCCTTGAACATTCAGTGATCTTCCTGTTTCTGCTTCCTAGTACAGGGTTTATTGGTGTGCGCTATCATGCCCAGCTGGTTTAGATTTTTGTGGTTTAGGGTTTCACTGTGTAGCCCAGATTAGCCTTTAATTGCAAACCTCCTGCCTCAGTCTCCCATGTTCAACTAAGCACTTCATTAAATCTCTCTGGAAGATTGTGAACTTCTTTGATAAGGAAATAAAGGTGCTTTTGTAAGGCATTAGGGCTTTGAACAAGTGAGTCATTTGTTGAGATTTTATAGAGGATTTTATTGTCTTGGGGAGATGGCAGCTCTCCTTCACTTCAGTAATGTAATTGTGACTCTGGAGCAGCCTGGAGCAGAGGACCTGATTGGAGGTAACTTTTTTTTTTTTTTTTTTTTTTTTTGAGACAAGGTCTCTGTAGCCCTGGCTGGTCTAGAACTCAAGAGATCTGTCTGCCTTTACCTCAAAGTTTGCATGGAGATAACAAACACACAGCTTCAAGCCCTGACTCTCTTAACCCCTGGTTGTAGCGTACCCTGTATAACCACAGTAAAGCAAGAGGCCTTTTCTGTAGAACCAGTAACCCAGGGCAAACTAGAGAGAAGCACCACGAGACAGATTTGGGGACTTACAGGAAATGCCCAGTGGCCACTGTGCAAAGAGGCTATTTGAATGTTTTGTTAATAGGGAAGACCACAGAACCTAAAGATCCAGCTGGGCTCTGCCTGTGTGTGGAAATTGGTGCTAATTTGTGCATTCCATGAAATGTCTCCCTTGCCCAACTCTCTTGTACCCTCAGTAGCTGGCTAAGGCTACAGCTGAAAAGAGCTTTCAGAAATTCTTCCCTAGCTGTGCAAGTCCAGGCCTGCCAGAACTGGTTTAACTTGCTTCTGAGAATCTTGACTCCACCCCTGACTCCTTAAGGCTTCAGAGATGTTAAGTCTTGGAAGTCTCCAGAGAGGTGACTTTAAGGAGTGACCACTAAGGATTTCCTGAACTCACACCAAACTTAGGTCCCAGATCATGCCTCTGTTTCTAGTTCCTCATTTTTATTATTTTTTTAAGGATTTTACTTTTATTATTATTTTGGTCTTTTTGAGACAGAGTCTCCCTGTAACCCCAGCTGTCCTGGAACTCACTGCCTGCCTCTGCTGGGATTAAAGGCATGCACCACCACGCCCAGCCCTATTTTTAATTATTTGTATGCATGGAAGGGGGTTTGTGTATATATATGAGTGCAGTTGCCTTTTGGGGATCAGAGGCATCTCTCCAGCCTCCTTCCTGCTATCATAAAGTCCTTTGCTCATTGGGAGTCTCAAACTTTGAACCATTGGACTCAACTAGCCTTCTGCCTCAGCCTCTCAAGTAACTGGGACTACAGATGTGTACCAGCACACCTGGAAAGTATCAGTTTTTTCTTTCACTTTATTGGAGGCTTAAACCCATGGCCCTATGCATGCTAGGCAAGCCCTGTACCTAGTGCCATCTTAGTTCCCCAGGAAATTGCCCCCTCCTTTTTATACTTTATTATTTATTTTGGTTGTTTTTGAAATAGTCTCTCTGTAGCCACGGCTGGCCTGGAACTCACTATGTAGACCACATAGTGATCCGCCTGTCTCTGTCTCCCAAGTGTTGGGACTACAGGCGTGCACCACCGTGCCCAGCTTATTATTTTTACTTTTTATATGTATGAGTGTCTTGCCTGCATGTATGTAAGCACACCACATGTATGCATTGCCCCACAGAGGCCAGAAGAGGATGTTGGATTCCCTGGAACTGGAGTTACAGATGGTTGTTAGCTACTATGTAGATGCTAGGAATAAAATCCAGGTCCTCTAGAAGAATAGCAAGTGTTCTTAATCACCAAGCCATCTCTCCAGCCCCAGGAAACTGTCCCTTATAGAAGCCTTTCCTGCTGCTTCTACCCATCACCACCCAAATCTCAGGCAAGGTCTCAAGAGCAGCCTGACAGGGACAAGCTTCACCTCCTGTAGATTCTGGTTCCTACAGGAAGGTTTTGAGCTGTTTTCTGACTCTCTCTGTAGATTTGTTGTATGTGTAAGAGTATACTGCTTGCATGTGTGTAAGGTCAGAAGAGAGCGTCGAATCCCCTGGAACTGGAGTTACAGATGGTTGTTAGTTGCCATGTGGGTGCCGGGAACTGAACCCAGGTTTTCTGCAAGAGCAGCCAAGTGCTCTTAACTGCTGAGCCATTTTTCCAGCATGTGCCCCCCTTTTTTCCTTGAGATAATGTCTCCCTACGTAGCCCACACTAGTCTGCGACTCACAGCCATACTCTTGCCTCAGCCTATGCTGGGATTGCTTGGCTCATTCTTCTGCTTTTGTCACTACATGACAGCTTGGCTCCCTATCCTGCAGCTTTCTAGAGTCTTACTGTATCATAGTTTCCTGGCTGCTTGCTATGTTACACACTTCAAGGCCAAATTAAGGTTATAAACAGCAGTGTCTGAAATTCAGTAAATGGTGGTAGGACATGCCTAGAATACTAGCACTTGGGAGGTAGAGGCAGGAGGATGAGGAGCTCAAGGTCATCCTTGGCTATATAGTGAGTTTGAAAGTAGCCCAGGGAAGGGGGGAGGGAGGGAGGGAGGAAGGGAGGAAGGGAGGATGGAAGGAAGGAAGGGAGGGAGGGGAAGGGAAGGGAAGTGAGGGAGGGAAGAAAGAAAGAAAGAAAGAAAGAAAGAAAGAAAGAAAGAAAGGGAAGGGAGGGGAAAGGAAGTGAGGGAGGGAGAAGGAAGGAAGGAAGGAAGGAAGGAAGGAAGGAAGGAAGGAAGGAAGGAAGGAAGGGAAAAAAAGGGAGGGAGGAGGAGCAAGGGCCTGCCATGGTGCTGTACACCTTTGATCCTGGTGCTTGAGAGGCAGTACATCTCTGTGAGTTCAAGGCCAGATGGTGTCGTAGAAAGTTTCAGGCCAGGGCTAGAGAGATGATGGCTTGGCGGTTAAGAACACTGGCTGTTCTTGCAGAAGACCTGGGTTTGAATCCCAGCCACCCACATGGCAGCTAACAACTGTCCGTAACTCCAGTTCCAGGGATCCCACAGCCTCTTCTGACCTCCTCAGGCATTGCATGACACAGATGCTCTTACCTACATGCAGGCAATACACGCATACACAAAAATAAAAATAATAATTAAAATATTTTAAAACGAAAGTTTCAGGCCAGTCAGGACTACACAATGAGACAATGTCTCAAGAAAAAAAAGGAGGGAAGGAAGGAAGGAATTAACAAATGAAGCAATTAAAGCAATCAAAGGTGTACTTACTTCCTTCTACCCCTCCAGGGCTATACTTTGTCCAGCTCAGTCCCTTCCTGGGGTTTCTCTCTTGGCTGTCTCCAACATTCTTGTCCTCTGCCTCCTGGCAAGTTTACCTAAAGGAGATTAGGAGGAGTAAGAAGAGAACATGAGGTTACTTAATCTCCATTGCATATCCCACCTTCTTAAAAGTGTACTTAAAAAATTTTTTTTTTTTGTCTCTTTGAGACAGGGTCTCCCTGTAGCCCCAGCTGTCCTGGAACTCACTATGTAGACCAGGCTGGACTTGAACTCACAGAGATCCGCCTACCTCTGCCTCCCAAGTGCTGGGATTAAAGTCATGTGCCACCACGCCCAGCTTAATTTTTTTTTTTAATTTAATAACCACATAATTAGAAGAACCATTTCATTACAGCTTTAACATATTCAGTAACACACTCCAGAGCAAGGATACATCTCTTTCAAAAGTGGCTGTAAATTTTTAGGTTCACAGTTGAATTAATACAGTTATAAAAGTGTACTTTTTAAAGCAGGCTCCTTTTGATCTCTACTCCCTCTCGGTTGTCCAGCAGTAATTTGGTATCTGCCTTCTTTTTGGCCTTGAGGAACTGCACCATATTGTGTAGCGTTTATCAAATTCACATGTTTTCCTTCACTTTTTTGTGGAACCTGATTGATAAGACATATTCTATCTCTGAGCTCTGCCTGAGAGACCTTTGACAAGTTACCCAACCTCTCCATGCTTTGGTATCCTCCCTCATATGTAAAATATTGCAGGGAGAGGAAGGGTACTGTAAGGTCACTTTTAGCCTTTGGAACCTTTGGTTCTAAGTGGGTAACAATGTGATGATTTAACTTCTACAGAATTCAACCAGGAAAGGCCAGGCATTAATGGTGCCTGTCTGAAATCTCAGCATTCAGGGTATAGAGGCAGGAGGATGGCAACAAATTCAAGACCTGCCCGACCTATATAGTGAGTTCAATGCTGAACAGGGCTAAAAAGTGAGAGTCTGTCAAAAAACAAAGGGAGCCAGCCAGATATGATGACACTTCTGATATCTCTTAGTAGAAAAAAGCAGGAAGATCTGGAGTTCAAGGTCATTTTTAGTTACAGAGTTCAAAGACAGCCAAACCTACAATGTGACCCTTTTTTCCAAAAAAAAAAGAAAAACAGTTGCCAGCCGTGGTAGCCCCACAGCTGGGGAAGCAGAGGCAGGGGGATCTCTGTGAGTTCGAGGCCAGCCTGGTCTACCTAGTGAGTTTCCAGACCAGCTGGGACTACAGGGAGACCCTGTCTCAAAAAAAAGACAAAAAACGAAAAACAAACAATAAAGAGAATATGGGGCTGAATGGAAAAATATATAAGATTACTCCACTGTGGCATTTAGATTTGGGGATGTACATGTTCAAAATAGCTCAGTTATGCTGGGTGTGGTAGCACAGGACTTTAATCCCAGGATTTAGGAAGCAGAGGTTGGTGGATCCAGCTTGGTCTACGCTGTGAGTTTTAGGCCAGCTAGGGCTACAGCAAGATCCTTTCTCAAAAAACAAAAACAAAACAAAAATCTCAAGAGTTGATGGGCTGAGGATGTAGCTCAGTTGGTAGTATACCTAACATTCTCAAAGCTCTGGGTTCAATCCCCAGCACTACATAAAACCAGATCTAGTGGAGAATGCCTGTAATGCCAGCATTTAGGATGTAGAAGCAGGAGGATCAGAAATCCCAGGCCAATCCCAGGCCAGGCCTGGACTACAAAAGACCATGTCTCAGAAAAAAAAACACATTTGGTAGGCAAAAAAAGCAAGAAACAGTTCCACCTGTGCTCCATGTACATTTATTTTAAACATAGTCCTTTTCCTCAGGAGGCAGAGGCAGGCAGATCTCTGTGAGTTCAAGGCCAGCCTGGTCTACATACTGACTTCCAGACCAGCTGGGGTTACAGGGAGATCCTGTTTCAAAAAGACCAAAAAACAAAACAAAACAAAACACCACACACATACACACACACACACACACACACACACACACATAAAACATTGTCCTTTCCAAGAAATTCTCCAGTTGTACAAATTAGCTTTTATTTTATATTAGCTCTGTTAATAGTCTTTTTTTCCCTTCCTTCCTTCCTTCCTTCCTTCCTTCCTTCCTCCCTCCCTCCCTCCTTTCCTTCCTTCCTTCCTTCCTTCCTTCCTTCCTTCCTTCCTTCCTTCCTTCCTTCCTTCCTTCCTTCCTTCTTTCTTTCTTTCTTTCTTTCTTTCTTTCTTTCTTTCTTTCATCAGGGACTCACTAGATAGATCAGGCTGACCTTGAACTAACAGAGATCTTGCCTCTTCCTCCTGAGTGCTGGGATTAACTACACCTGGCCTACTTGATTTTTCTTGTTAGAAAATTTTCAGAATTTCTCAGCCCATTTCTATTAAATCATAACTCTACTTATCTCTGTATTTCTGCTTCTTTTTTTTAATTTTTAATAATCTGCTTCTTTCTATGTCTGTTCTCTCCATTAAAACTAGGCTAAGAAGGGGCTGCAGAGATGGTTCAATGGTTAAGAGTAGTAGGTACTGTTCTTCCAGAGGACTGTGAAGTTCACCTTCCAACACCCAACTGCCTGTAACTCCAGCTCTGGCCTCCTTGGATACCTGTAGTCATGTACACACACACACACACACACACACACACACACACACAAATAAATAAAGCCGGGCATGGTGGCATATACCTTTAATCCCAGCACTCGGGAGGCAGAGGCAGACAGATCTCTGTGAGTTCAAGGCCAGCTGGTCTACATACTGAGTTCCAGGACAGCTGGGGCTACAGGGAGAACCTGTCTCAAAAAGACCAATAAAATAAAATAATAATAAAATCTTAAAAAAAAATAAATCTTTGAAAAAAAGCATCCTCTTCCCCCAGCACCCCACTCAGCAGGAAAAAAAAATCAGACGTTCCTAAACAAGGGCATCTAGCCTGTTTACAAACTAAGCAGTCCAAACTGACTGGCACCTGGAGCTGTCATTCAACAGAAAAGAGCCCCCTGCATGGAAAGTGTTGGCCCCAAAGAAGTTTTCCCAGACTGAGTGAGGCCAAAAATTATAGTTATTTTAACTTTACACTTTGGACTGAATCCCCTTTGGACAGAAACCACCAGCTATCTCTTGAGCCATCCAAGTGCTATATACCTGTGATTTCAGTGGTACTTCTAAACTAGATGGAGGCTACAATTTCTCTTTAATTAGAGCCACAGATGACCCTAAAATTATTTGTAATACAACTACTTTTTAAAAAATTCACTTATTATTTTTATTTTATGTGTATGCTTGTATTGCTTGCATGTAGGTAAGTGCACTTGTGTCATGCAATGCCAGAGGAGGTCAGAAGAGGCTGTTGGATCCCCTGGGACTGGAGTTACGGACAGTTGTTAGCTACCATGTAGGTGCTAGGATTCAAACCCGGGTCTTCTGCAAGAACCAGTGTTCTTAACTGCTGAGCCATCTCTCCAGCCCTACAACTACTTTTTTTACAAAATGAAAAGCCAGGTCACATGCCCAAGGTCACATGGTAGGTTAGTAGCAACCTAATAATAGCTGAGAGATACATAAAGCTGGGCACTGCTGTTTTTTTGTTTCTGGTTTTTTTTGTTTTTTTTGTTTTTTTTAAATGGGGTCTCAACTATACAGCCCAGCTGTCCTGGAACTGGCAATGTAGACCAGGCTGGGCTTGATCTCACAAAGATTCACCTGCCTCTGCCTCCTGAGTGCTGGGCCTACAAGTGTGCACTACCATGCCTGACTTCTAAGTGTTTAGTTGTTTTTTATGGTGCTGGAGATCCAACCAATCTACCACTTTACTGCTGAGCTATACTCCCAGCCTCTTTTTTTTTTTTTTTTAATTAAAGAATGTTCTTCTGAGGCTGGAGAGATGGCTCAGTGGTTAAGAACACTGGCTACTCTTTCAGGGGACCCAGGTTCCATTCCCAGCACACACATGACAGCTAATAACCATCTGTAGTTCCAGTTCCAGGGGATCCAAGGCCCTCTTCTGACCTTTGCAGGCATTGCATGACATGGGTGCACTTACACACATGCAGGCAATCCACTCATATACATAAAAAAAATAATAACAATACCGGGCAGGGTGGTGTATGCTTTAGTCCCAGCACTCCGAAGGCAGAAGCAAGTAGATCTCTGTGAGTTCAAGGCCAGGGCTGGAGAGATGGCTCAGTGTGTTAGGAGCACTGGCCGCTCTTGCAGAGGACCCAGGTTCAGTTCCCAGCACCTACCTGGCAACTAACAACCATCCATAACTCCAAATTAAAGGGGATCCTATGCCCTTTTCTGGCTTCTGCAGGCACTACACATATGTGATACACTTACATACATGTAGACAAACACTCATCGATAAAATACAAATAAAAAATTTAAGAAAAAATGAAGTGAAGTAATGGGATGGAGAAATGGCTTAGTGGTTGAGAGTGCTTTACTGTTCTTGTACAGGACCTGAGTTTTGTTCTCAGCATGCACATGGCAGCTCACAACTGCCTGTAACTCTAGTTCCAAAGAAGACAGCTATGCTACCACTATACAATGCAGATAATTTCAGTTCCGGGAATCCAACACTCTTTTCTGACTTCAGTGGGTTCCTGTATGCATGTGGTACACATATATACACCCATGCACATACACATAAAATTCATAAGTAAGTCAGGCTGGAGAGAAGTTCAGTGGTTAAGAGTGCATAGTACTCTTGCAGAGGACCTGAGTTCAGTTCTCAGCACCAATGTCAGGTAACTTACAACTCTGTAACTCCACCTCCAGGGAATCTGGTGCCTTTTCTAAACTCTGAGGGTACCTGCATTCAAGCAAATACACACAGACACATACACATAATTAAAAATAAAGCTTTAAAAAAGTTGGACATGGTGGCACACACCTTTAATTCGAGCAGGGGGGAGGCAGAGGCAAGCAAATCCCTGTGAGTCTGAGGCCAGTCTCTTCTATATAGTAAGTTCCAGGTCAGCCAGGGTTACAAAGTTAAGATCCTTTCTCCAAAAAATAAATAAATAAATAAATAAATAAATTCTTGGTAGATGGTCTCAACAAATAAATAAAAGAAATTTAA